ATCCTTCCCCCCAAAGGGAGGTTGAAAATAATGCAAGAGTTATCCAAAATTGTTGGGTCTGTGGCAGGCATATTGAGGAGGAGATAAACCAATGCCTCTTTTAAGGCACCTGGCATTCCCCTCTCCCATAATTAGGTGTTGGCTATGACCAGGGACCAGTCCCTTGTTCTCTCCTTGGGATGAATCAGCTGTAAAGAGCAAAACATGTCATGTTCACAAGTGGCAGAGCTACAGGCTCAAAAATCTCCCAGGTAACTTCCAAGACATGACCCATGTCAGCTCCTTGGGCTCAGATGATCTGGCTTCCAGCCCACCGTGAATTTTATCCAGCTCTGCTAAATGGTTGCAAGAACCACTTAACAGGTTCTCCATCCTATCTGCCTCAAAAAAGGTACGGGCTATTCTGAATTATATTGTTGGGCAGCATTTGACAGATGCAATAAGAGAAGTAAGACTGCTCTGCTGACCTTACCACTGTGGAAAAGGCTCGGATCTGAGTTTATATTTGTACCCAGTCATAGTCGCTCATTGTTTTTTTGCTAGGCATTTCTTCATCCAGGGAACTAAGCACCTATATGAGGAATGGAACTAATCTCTCAGTTACTGAGAAATTTCCCTAGTGACATCACTGGGCAATTTCGCAAGCCACTGGGTCCTTCAATTACTTAGGTTAGACCATTATAATTAACTCTCCTTTGTAGAGGTTGGTAACTCTAGTCAACCTATAGTAGTTATGAAAAAGCAACCTGCCCACCCCAAGGACTTGACACAAAGGTCACTCACCACTCGATCATGACTCATTTCCTCTGAGGTGAAAAGTAAGTCTAGAGAGTGTCCTGCAGTGGGACTAAAGCTAGGAATGACTTGGGACAAACCCATGGTTGGCATGCTGGCCATGGCATTCTGAATTTCCAGTGATCCTAAGGAGGGAAAGTTAAAATTACCACTGGAAATAATAAGTAGCCCAGCCTGATAGATGCTTTAGAAGAATTTTGTTAGCAATTAAGGTCTTGTCCTTTTTCCTTTCCTTTCCTTTCCTTTCCTTTCCTTTCCTTTCCTTTCCTTTCCTTTCCTCTCCTTTCCTTTCCTTCTCTTTTTAAGACAACCACTTACTAATGACAGCAGAATGGCAGCCTGGGAGCTAGGAACTATTTTAAGTATTCTCCAGTCTACAACTTGACATCAATACTTTCCTTTCCTTTCCTCTCCTTTCCTTTCCTTTCCTTTCCTTTCCTTTCCTTTCCTTTCCTTTCCTTCTCTTTTTATGACAACCACTTACTAATGACAGCAGAATGGCAGCCTGGGAGCTAGGAACTATTTTAAGTATTCTCCAGTCTACAACTTGACATCAATACAAAACTTCTAGTTTTGTCATGCTAGTAGCTAGATTTTTATATTGGAGGAGGTGGCTGACTCAAGTCAATGAGAGTCAAAGCATCTAAGAGTTCTTTGGCAACTTTAGCTAGCTATCAAGGTTCTTTAAAATGTGTGCTTAAATATATGGTACTTTATCAAAAAATTAAAGAAATACAGTCCTGTCTTGGGCTCAAAGGCATTCTTTACAAGAATGCTAGAGGTTGACACTTTAATTTTTTCTTCTAATTAAAGAATGTAAAAAAAAGGCAGGTGGGATGGGGACGTTGGGAAGTGCCAAGAGAGGCATAATATGGCCCATATAATCACCATGAAAACATTCATTTTGAGATGCTAGTTAAGAATAAGCCTTATATTTGAAAGGAGTTATATGACAGCTTTAAGATGTATTGCATTATTTTACTATAATTAAAAAATCCCATTGAGAAATTTGCCTGGGAAAGAAATTTTATTTGAAAGTTGGTTTGCTATCTGGCTTCATTGTGTGTTAATGTTAAAAAAACAACAACAACCTTCTAAATTGCTCAATAAAAGGCATATCACTCCTACATAATATGTTACTAAACAATGTTATGTCGATTTCGGTTAGAAATGTAGACATCATGTTTTTGTGATATAACTTTCTATTTTCTTTTGAATGAATGTTATTTGTTCACAGTGCCTTGTAGGAGGCTATTAGAATACTTCATTGAATAATTTTGATACATTGGAAATACTTTCACCTCAATAGGAACTAAATCTTTTTTGTACTACAGCCAGAATTCCAATCACAGGACAAGAGGGCTTATTGTCTAGCATTGTTAAGCTCTTGTACTGCTTGTTCCTTCACTCTTTATATATATTGTTTGCAATTTATGTTTGAAGGTTTTTTTGTTTTTGGGTTTTTTTTCTTGGGCAAATAATTTCTCTTCTCCTTTTAAAACTGATTTTCCATTTCACTATTTTTGTGGTTTATCTTTGACCTTGGTATATGACTCTTGTCAACTGTAAAGCAAGTGCTAACATTTTTTCATTTATTTGTGTTTTATAAGTGAGTGTCTGCACATTGCTTTATTTCAACGCGTTTATAAATGAAGAGGTAAAATTTCAAAATAAGACAATTAATCTTTAACAACTATTTAGTTGTTAAGTATCTGTATCTTTGTTTAGTATCTGTAATACCAAACCAAAAGAAGAAACCTATATTATTTTCATAATACTTTAAAGAATAACTTAACAGTGTAAATTACAGAGAAAGAACAATGATAGAAAAATACATCATTTATATTTTCTATAAAAATAAAACTATATTCAAAACTACTATACTATATTCAAATCTGGTATATCAAAATGTAATGATCAAATGTGTTAACGTATGGTTACAATGATTGAATGGGGGATGGTAGTAATACTTGTGAAAGAGTTTTTGGAGCAGTAATTCATTGCAAACTGAATATTAACCAACAGTGTTATGTAGCTGCAAAAAAGAGAAATGCAGTTTTAGGTTCCATTGATCAAAATAGAATTTCCAAAACATAGGAAGTAAATGTTCCACTTTATTCCGCATTGGTCTGAGTCTACCTTGAGTACCAGGTTGTGGATACCACACTTTGAGAAGGATTCAGAGCAATTGCAAAAGGTTCAGAGTCAGGCAACAGGGATCATCAAGGGACTGAAATTCCTATGGGTGGGAAACAAATTGAAGAACTTCAGTTTGTTTGACCTTGAGAAAAGATGACTGAGAAGGAACCTGAGTGCACTCTTCAAATACCTTAAGGAATGTCACCTATTCTTTCTTGTTCCAAAGTTTTAGACATGGAATAATAAATTTCAGTTACAGAAAGACAGTTTCTGATTGAATGTAACGGGGAAAAGAAAACCCTTCCTAACTATAAGAATAATTTAACAAATTACCCAGAGTGGTGAAGGGCTCTCCTTCATTGGATATATTCAAGTGGAAGTTTGACAGCTACCTGTCTGTGATTCTTTAATTTGGGTTCCTGCACTAAGTTGATAGCTGAATTGATGTCCTAAATGGCACTTTCCATCTATATGATTCAGCTGAGCTCCTTCAATCAGATCCCAGTAGTCTGTTCATTTTAGGGATGGTAACTCTCTGGTTATGTTGTTTTATCTCAGTGTAAGATAAAAGTGTCCCTCCTAGACTCTTTACAAAGATGTACTTCATCTACTATAAGCCATTTGCTCTGCAAATCACTAAATCTGGCTAATCTGGTTTAATCAAGGATTAAATTAGATTGAATGGAGCAACAGCAGAGATGGTGAAGAAAAATAGGAAATTACAGATCAGAGCATATTACTACAAGCAAAGCCTTGTAAATATCCTAGGAAAGTCATTATCAAAACAGCTTATAAAATTTAGGACATAAAAGGTAATTGTCCCTGGTATTTCACATCTGTAGTTGAGAGAAATGGTTTCTTAAACAGAGAACCTCTTCTAAACTAACCTGAATATTCTAAAATGTATCTGATTGTTTTTAATGTGCCACTGATGTTTACAGAAGTAGATAAAATCAAAGTTATTTACCTGGCTTTCCGGGAAGAATTGGTTCTTTATTTCCAGGTAGTGACTAATGTATATTTTTACATGCTTAAAATCTAGCATTTTGATGGATTTAAGGGCTAGAATTCCTTTTTTTTTTTCCTGTGTTGAGTTAGAACACTTGCATATTGTTATAAATGTGCAAACATCTATCCATCCAGGAGCTTTTTCCAGGAAGTTCTTTTCAGCCTTCCTCCTTAAAAACATTAAAAGTGATTATTTTCAGAAAGATTAGTTGTCCCTGGGTCGGCCTTAGTGATTTCCAAGTGTGATAGGAAGGCAATGGTTGTATTAAAAATGCTTGAATAAATGCAAGCTGAGCTCGGTCTTTTTTCTCATCTGAAGGGCATGTCAAGCAACCAAGAGGTTGGGGGGAGGGGGAAATCTCAACCTTTGTTGAATTGCAGAGATCACCTTCTAGTTCACTTGATGCACTGGACCCAAATACTGCTGAACTCAGACATTAATTTCCTGGGAAGCAAATGTCTCAACAGTGAATATATCATGTGTGGCATTTATAACACGAAAGCAGAGAACTTCAAGCCAGAGATGCTTTAAAACACAAAACTGATTGTATTGGTGCCTGATATGGCAGTGATGCAAGTAAGCTGGTGACTTTGAAGGGAATCAACCAAGCAGATTAAAGTTTTGTATTGATTAGATCAGGGTTCTCCAACCTGTGTATGTTCCACATATGTGGGATTCAGGCACTAAAATTCCCAGCCATCAAGGCCATTTCTGGGAATTCTAGAAAATAAGTCTTCTCAGTCATGGCACCTGTGCTATGGAACACCACCCCTGAGATCCCTGTTAGCTTCATTTCATTTTCTTTATAGATGAGCTCCCAGTGGTTCTACTTTTATTTCACAGCAACAAGATGTTAAAAAGGACACCTTTAGAGTTCTCCTCTGTTTAGAAATCTTCAACACATGCTGGGGCCTTACAAAGTAGGATGTATGTAGAGGTCAGGCCTGAAATTTTGGCAAACCTTGATTGAAAATTATTAGAATGATGCTTTTACATAACTTGCTTAAATCAGTGGGTATGTAAATATACAATATATTTTTTTTTCTCTTTCCTCCAGGAAATGATTTGTTTCTAGTAGCAGTTCATGAACTGGGACATGCCCTTGGATTGGAGCATTCAAATGATCCAACTGCCATTATGGCTCCATTTTACCAGTACATGGAAACTGACAATTTCAAACTACCTAGTGATGATTTGCAGGGAATCCAGCAGATATACGGTATGCTCTTAAAAACACACACACACACATATAATGTGAGAAAGGATTATTTCAGCTGTATATACTGAGACATGGCCAGTTTCACGGACAGCTGTCAATTGGCTTGCAGATTGATATGGTAAAGGCTCCTTGTGATCTTGTGATATATACCTGTTCCTGCAGTTTTCATGGTAATTGTTCAGAAATCAGTTACCACTGTCTTTCAGACTAGTCTGGTCAGTTCAGTTCAGTTCAGTTTAGTCCTGGAATGTTGGTCTCTCATTCAAGTATTAACCAGGTCAAACCCTGCATATCTTTCTTGGGGGCCAGCCAAGATCAGTTCAGTGCTGCCACCTGCTGTGGCCTGAAGTTATGATGGAGCATATACGAACATGCAAAATAATAATAATAATAATAATAATAATAATAATAATAATAATAATAATAATGGTTGTTTATTGGGGCTGTGCAAAGCTTCAGAGGGTCCTTCACTTCAGTAAAACCGATCCCTTTAATTCAAAGGGTGAAGTAAAATGGCCCCATTCTTCTGCTTCGGAGTACCTTTTGGTCTATCACTACAGAGCAAATCCTATAAAAGAGGGCTGAAGGAATCCTTCTCCTGCAGTACTGGCCAGAGTGATTCCAAGCTGGGCAACTTTGGCAAATGGTGTGGAACTGCCTGTAGTGACTATTGAAGATGGCCTGCTTGGAGGCCCCTTAGCATTGTGCCTTAGGTGTTCTAAACTTGATGTTTTCAGCAAGTGCTAGAGACAATTCCGCAGCATGTGCCACCCTTGCATAGCCTGAAGACTTCTCCAGTCACTGGAGATTTTCCCAGCAAGACAACTTTAATATGCACTGGAAGCTGTCCAGTTTTGAAGCACTTCAGCCAGCACTGGAGGAGAAGGTTGTGATGCAGCCTTTTCCCACAGCATGGCCCTATGATGGTCGGGGGCCACTCCAGTTGCTTTGTTGAGTTAAATTGAGTCATCTCTTCACTTCTGCAAAGCACATCACAGGGCCTCCATAGAATAGACTGCTTTGTTGAAGTGAATGTCAATTGCTTTACACAGAGAAATCCAAACTTGAAGTAAGGAAGAATTCCATGACCATGAGAGCTATTAAAGAGTGAAACAGCCTGCCTCTTGGACTTGTGGGTGCTCCATCCCAAGAGGCTTTCAAGTAAAAGTTGGACAGCCATCGGTCTGGGATGGTATGAGAATTTCTGCCTAGAAGTTCTTCAAAATCCCTTCCAAATCTATGATTCTATGTTTCACACAGGCTTATTGCTTATGTCCCCCCAAATGCTTCATTTTGTGTTGTGCCAGTTAAATATGTGCTTTTTGGTTACTGTTGTGGTGTCATCTGGCATCTTCCTCTCATTCTTTTTGCATATCTTTAGTCCATTCATTATTAGGAATATAGGTGACAGAATGTATGTATTTATTTGTTTGCTCTTCAACTTTCCTCACTCTCTCCAGTATTTCCATTTCAATGTTTCTTCTATCTCATTCTAAGCATTTATTTCCTAAAAATACATTTGAATTGTTCCTGTTCCTTCACAGATAAACTGATCCTCACTCTGTTTAATGATAGAAATGCCAGATCAATATTTTTATTGAAAAGGAGTACTTGTTCTGAGCCATTGCCATTGCTAAGATGATAACGTCTCCTTTGCCTTTTGGATTTTGTGCAGATAATTCTAAATGTCCTAAGGATTTCACCAAGGATAGTTAAACAATTTAAGATTAAGCAATCAGTTTGTAGCAGAGGGAGCATTATTTGCGTTTCATAGTTCAAGCAACCAGATTTGCCTAAAATAACTCCTATCCCTTTTTCATTTGCCCTATGCCATGACATTTTAAAATTTTTGTCTTTTCACTCATTGCTGACTTTTTTGTCTTCAAGTTTGATTTAGCTATCTTTATTTGCTCAACAGTGTCCCCCTCATTCCTTTGGTTTCTTTTCTGTTTGGTTGGTCTGGGATCTCTGTATGTGTTTAGTCTGGAAACAGCTTAGAGTGGGGAAGTGCATTTTCTTACGATTTGCTAAGGTTATTTGTAGTTTCTACATGTGTTGATAAGGCTGATGAAATTGGGAGGAATAATTACAACATCATAATGTACATGTAGCTCAGTTTCATACTGCATGTTCCAGCATATTCTGGTTTTCCACAGAGAGAATGAGATGGTTCTGTTTCTCCTGTATAGCTCAGAAGGTGGTGTTTCCCGTGACCTCATGAGTTGGTAATCTAGACAGAAGAGTCTAGACAAGTTATTTTGCCTTTATACTAAATACCAATTTCTAGCAGCTGTAAGCTAAATTGTGAAAATCTCTATGGAACTTGGGAGTTGGCCATGACTTCATTAGCAAGTTGTAAAGGTGCACATTTTCATTTGAATTTCACATTTTTAAATTGGACATTGCCTGCTACAAGATAATTCCTCTGGTGTCAGTAATAAAATCAAAAATTGGCTGTGATTTAATATTTGGATTAAACATTGCTCAGATGAACAAATGTTGTATTCCTCAATAACTATAATTTGATCATGCCAAACTGAATTTAATCAATGTCTTAAAAAGACTACATACAGTACAATATACAAACATACATATGCGTTCATACATACATACACACACATATAATACAAGCAGTGAATAAATATGTACACTTAGTTTGCAATATAGGTGCCACCAAATATTATTGACTGTTCTCTGCATCTAGAAAACTAGATATCAAGGAAGCAAAGCCTTCTACTTGACATCATGCTATTTTCTTTTCTGGTTGCATGTGTCATGGAGAGAGAGAGAAAAGGGGTTTGTTAGATAAATCAAAGAAACATCTTTGTCTACCATTCTATTTTTATACAGAAAAGTTAAATATCACTGAGAAGCCACAGACAGGCAAGGAAGAGGCCAAAGTTTGGCTTTACCAAACTACCAACACATTTACTCTCAGCACATGTTATTTGCAGATAGCCTATCTCTGGCTCACCATTTTAAGGAAGCATATTTTTAGCAGTTATTCTGACAAAGATCATCTTAAGCCATTTAAACCATTGATAATTATAACCTCAAGATAATGTAATGGCAAATTTCATGTTTTAACTCGTTATTGACTAAAGAATAGGGATGTGCAGCTATTTGGATCTGAAGCACCTTTTTTATTTTGGTTCTGAATAACTGCATATTCCTATTAAATAGAAAACTTTCTGTTTATTTATCTTGAATATATTGAAGTTGCTGCAAGACACTGTTTGTTTAGATGCACATCTTCTATTCCTATTAGCTCTTCTATCTGATATCTTAATTTTGTAGACCAGCCTGGAATCCATTCTAATGAACTAAAGCTTAATATAAAATTATTTTTAAAAACTAACTTATAGAAATTCTTCAACAGGATAGTTTCATTCATCACTTGTATTTTTGTGTTTGTGGTTTAAATTTTACTCTAGTAATTTGTTTTACTATATAATATATAGTAAATATATATAATATATTTATATATATAAAATTTTTATATATCTATCCCATGTTTCTTCACTGAAGACAGTAGAGCTCATAAGGATAATTTAGGGGGTTTTTTTTGGACAGGGTAGTATAAAATAGCCATAGCTGTGGTGATTTATAGTCACTCAAAAAAAGTGGAATAAATTTTAAAATGCGTAAAGTTACCAAAGATTCAACCTGAGAGGAATTATGCAAACTTGAGCAGATCTAATTTGTTCAATTTCAGTAGTCTAGCCTTGAAAATAACAACCAATTCAAATTTGTGCATTTCTGGTCTGAGATAGATAGATAGATAGATAGATAGATAGATAGATAGATAGATAGATAGATAGATACATAGATATTACCATAGCATATTAAGACATCTCTCTATAACCAAGGAATCTGGGCAGTTATTTTAAAAAAGGAAGAAACGTGTGAAAGCTTATATGGCTACAAGTCTTAATCAACTACTCAATGTAATTAATTTATCTTAAATTTAGGCACAGATTAATGCTTAAACATATTTTTCTTAATCACTTGCTAATTAGTAAGTAAAAGTTCCAAAAAAAGCAGCTACGCCTTCAAAATTGTAAGAATTCAAAAATAACCCATTTTTAAAAATATCTTTATTTTTGTAATAAAACAATTTTATCTTAAAAAAAAGAAACTTTAAAATTTTAAAAGTACAGTACAAACTAAAACTAGGAAGGAAAAGAAAAAAATCTTATATTTTATGCTTATCAACAAGTCACTAGTTTACCAGTGAATTCACTACTATAATATGAACAAGATATTATTGTAAGATATCACAGAATCTCTGCCATTATAACCCATCTTGTTGTACCCTTTGATTGGTAGAAAATATTGCCTTTTCCAAAAGAGTGAGACCACACATTTCCAACAACCATTTCTCGACATCTTGAATAATATCACTTTTTGCCATCCCCCAAAATAACCCACAGTTGAGTTCTCTGATCATTTAACTTGCTAATGAAAAATTATTTCATCATGCTCTTGTGGAATTTCATAAAATCAGTCTTATGCAGCTTCATAAATTCAATATCATACAGCCTCTGTGTATTAATCTCATGAGGGTTTTTGTTCTCATTTAAAGGTCCACCTGACAGAATCCCACCACCAACAAAACCTTTGCCAACAGTACCTCCACATCGTTCTGTCCCTCCAGGCGATCCTAAGAAGAATGACAGAACTAAAGCTCCTCGTCCACCCACAGGGGATAAGCCCTCCTACCCTGGTGTCAAACCCAATATCTGTGATGGAAATTTTAATACTCTAGCCATTCTCCGCCGGGAAATGTTTGTTTTCAAGGTAGGCGGCCATTCTTTTTTTAATTGTTAGAGCAAGGGACCGCATCTTTGCTTTTTCAAAAACCAGCTCTCATTCAGCCTGACTGGGCTTCTGAGCTTTCTTGCTCTGTCCAAGTTCAAGAAAGACATTATAAAATGAACATCTGAATGGCTTATGTGTTTAACAGAGAAAAGGCTGGAATCTTCTATTTTGGGGAATGAATTAGTGTCAGCTGAAAGTTGCAATGCTTCAAAAATTTAATGGTAAGTAAATACTGAATGTTATGGAGAGATAAAAAAAGCATAATTCAAGTCCTGAATAGAAGCTAATAGGGATGATTTGGTTGGGAATTTAGCCACTTCCACGCTCATTGCTGTTATTGTGTTTTCTGTATAAGGACCCTGTAATTTAACTTTATAATTAGATCAGACGCTTTATAAAGGATGCTTGTCATTGTGTTGTGGTTGCCTTGATACATTCTGAGTGGAGGCCGGTGTTAGAAGAAACTCTTTGCAGGTGTTTGAAGGCTTTTTGTTACTGATGTTTTTGGGTTGGTTCAATTCTTGTTTGTTTGAAGATGCATCCATATGGCACCCATCCTGGGAACTAGAATGCCTTTTTTATTTTGATTTTAAATAGACTTCAGTCAAGGTTCAGAGACAACAAATCAAAGCAAATGCATTGACTGGAACAGAATAATGATCTGGCACATTTTCTTGTATGATTTCCAGAATGCAACAGGGCCATAATTTTGAATTTTACGAGATATTTTGGTACAAATTCCAATATTAGACAGAGGATAATATTAAGTAATACTCTTTTAGCTTGCAAACACATATTCTGATTTCATATTTTCTTGAACGAGCTGTGATTTTTAAATAAATATTTTGTGAATATTTAAATAAATGTGCTTCTATGATACAGAGAGTCTTTTAACTTTTCTTAGGGGATATATTGAAAAAGCAACATTTAAGGATTAATAGGAGATGTGTTCTAATGGCTGTCTAGTTTACTGCATAGTATTTTTTGTATCTTGACCTTACATCTTCCTTGGCCCAAGCCCTCATGCACTGAATGCAATTGATTCAATAGGAGATGTTTCTGTGACTTTATAGTTGAATTACATATCCTGTAGAAAAGGCACTGTTTATAAGGGCCTTGCATATAAATTACATCTAAAATACAGTGAACAGATTGACAGGTGACAGAATTTTACTGAAATTCATCTGGGACTGGCAGCACACAAACAAATATTAAGCTGTATCAAATTGTGGGCCACAAATTAGAATATACGTATTGGTATTTCCTCTGTCACAGGACAATGTAATTTCTTTCTGTTGGGTTTTTTGATTCACATATATGTTCCATACAACAGCATAACCCATTTGTGTGAATTAATACCAGACCTCTCAAAGAATTCCAGTTACATATAAGTATATATAAGTTCATCTGGGTCTTTGTATAGGTTTTTAAAAATATATTATGATTTTTCCCTCCTCTATATGAAATAATAAATTTTGATTTTAATTCCTACTATACAATTTGATTTTAATTCCTACTATATTCTATAATATTAAGTATGGAACCTTTAATGAAGATATTCCCTATATTAATCCATCTATATTAGTAGAAGGACCAAGCCCTATCTATATCAAAGATTTCTGCAGTGGGAACTGATTTGGTGGGCAATTTATTTGGGTACTCAAATTATATATCCAGAAAAAGCCCTCATTAAAAAGTGTTTTTCCTAGAAGATTCTTCCCCACTGACATCACTGGGTCTTCATTTATTCAAGAATCCAAATCTACCACAGACAACATAAACAATTACATATCCAGAAGTAATTAAGAATTTGGTTATGTATTCTTTTAGTACTCATCATGCACCAAATACTTATTTTAAAGAGGATGGCATTTCTGTAAATATCCCTGGAGATTCTTTTTCCTCCTCTCTCATGATGTTCTTTTCTTTGTGTTGAGCACTGAGGTACTCTAAGAAGAGAGATCTGGAAAACAACCTACTCTGGTTGTGACCCACATAAATTAAAAACAATCAGAAATAGAGATAGCTATTCATTTTCTTCCTATTGTCACCATTCTTTTGTCAACATCACTTTAGACATAAACTTTGAGAGCTTTTCGCAAATTATATGAAATTTGTTACAACATTGTGTTATCGGTGTTTAACAAGCCATTTGAAGAGGTATTTCCCATCACCAACAGCAGCCAGAACTACAGGCAGCATCTCTCAACTTTATAGAGACACCAGGTGATATCATCCTGTGAGTCTCCCTACTGATGATGCTCTGACCTCTCCACCTTTAAGTTTTGTGTGCACTGAGGGGTGGAACTGCTGCTCTCTGTTTTATCAGATAATTGAGTTTAAACTACCATTTTAATTCACATAATGCCAAGAAATAAATGAATGCAGGGAATTGTGGGAAATTAAAAGGTTTTCCTCCCTCACTGACCAACAGAGGAGAGGACTCACTTACCAGAAGGCTCATGAGCACCAATAAAATTGCCCAGGTGGTTCTGCCAGTGTAGAACTTCAGTCTTTTCAGATATGATATATTAATTGGTCATGGGAGATTTGCAACTTTAACACAAATGTACCTGAATTGAGTCCAGTGAAAATAGTCCAGGAGACCAAGCAATTTGGCATTTATTAAATTGAAATAACTGAACATTGTTTAACAATACTACTTAGTAGAATGTATAACTTTTCTTGATAACAAAATAAATAGCTTCTGGGTAATTGATTCATGGTTGCTTCATTTCATTTCATAGAAGAGTGACTTTTATGAATTATTTTTCAGACAGAACTACCAGATCTTGAATAACGCCTTTGTAATATTATGGCTTTATTTTAATACCCTATGGCCATCCATCTTTGTGAATGAAGTGAAAGGTTAAGAATCTAATTTTCTGACTTGACATTAAGCAGGATATTAAAATTCCCACCCATTTGTTATACTATTCATCTTGTAAACAATAGAATATGCCCTAATTTGTTTTACACAATATAAATTATTTACTACATCACTAAAATAAATCTTATTTTCAGCCTAAAACTGGTTTTGGATGGAAAGATCAACTGTAATTTTGTGTAGTGCCTCCCTTTTAGTTATGAAAGAAAAACTGTAGCTTTGATACAGACTGTTTTCATTCATCTAATCTTAGAGGAGTCTATGCATGTCTACTTAAAAGTAAGCCCCACTGAATTTAGTGGAAATTACTTCTAGAGAAATGAGACTAAAAATGACAGATTGCATTGCGTGCTGTGAAATATAAGTTTTTTTCTGATGTTTTATTTATAATTCTATCCCTCTTTGGAAAGAAAAAGCATTCAAGAATAATATGCAATAAATAAAATTATTTTTCCAACTTTTTCAGATAGTTTATCAACTGAATATTAAAACAGTATGTACAGTACTTTGGATTCAGAAGCAAAAAAAGATTTCAGAGCATGCATAAGTGTGAATATCTCACCTGGCTACAACTTTTTAAAGCAGTCATGTTTTTTCACTGCCACCATATGATCTCAGGAGTAAACATGTTTGGTTTAAGGCAGGGTCTTTCAAACTTGGCAACTTTAAGATGTATGGACTTCAACTCCCAGAATTCACCAGCTAGCATGCTGAGAGTTGAATCCCAGGAGTTGAAGTCCACACATCTTAAAATTCTGTAGTTTGAAAAACACTGGTTTAAGGCATCACATTACCACATGTTCCTAAGCACCTTTTTGCTTTCAAATCCTTAATCCCACCCAGTCCTAGTGAATATTGCTTGTTTTATATCACATCCTATTTTATGTGCGCTGATAGATAGTTCAGTAAGGATTTCCCCCCTTGTGAAAAGACTTTTTAATTGCTGAAAGTTTGACTACTTAGCTGATAGCGAAGGTTGTACAGAATGGCTTAGAAGTATTGGTGGAAATTAATCACAAAGTGAAAAGTGCTGGAAGTATAGATTATTTTGATTTCCAGAGAAAAAAGCAAAACATTGCTGGCATTCTGACATCTAGCCATCTATATAGGATGTATTCAGCTCTCTGAGTGGAGAACATGGATCCTGAATTAGGGTATTGCTTATTAAACTGACTATGAAAAAGTAAAAGAGAGCTGAGCAGCGCAGTGCCTATATTTTGCCAGTTACTTTTCCAAATTAAAAATTTCACTTATTTTTGTACTGGATGAAGTGGTGAAATCAACAGTGTAATGAAAACAATTGATTAAAACAACTTATCTTTGTGTCTTTTCAGTTGCGATGTAAGATACAATCTACATCTTAAAATGCAACTTTTGTTACAAGTAGTGCTGTCTCTCTAGGCATTAGCATGAAACCAGCTCTGATGGCTCCCTAATTATCCCGATGAAGGCAAGAGATGATTGGCCATCTTTGGAAATATCAGTGGATCACTGGCCAAATAGTAAGCAGGTACATCTTGCTTACTTAAGTGCAGGCACAGGATGAGTTAATAGTTACTTAAACCTCACTATATGACACTACCTTTTTCCTAATCCTCTAGCTTCACTTGATTGTGATTATGAATCATGACTAGGAAAGAATAAATCTCCTCTCCTTAGATGATGAAATCTAAGCCTATACTTAATTAATGAGCTTTTAGCTAAAATGCCATTTTACTTCTTGCTGACTTCTTGTTGATTCTATAATGGAGTGTGTCCATTGTTTCATGTTTTTCTTCCCATTTTGAAACCAGTTCACAGTATTTTTTCTCCTCCTTGGGTCACTACATTTGTATCATACCTCTTTTCAAAGATACTTATGCTGGTGTATCGATAGGTTATTTGATTTATTGTAATATCCAGAGATACTGTTTTCTGAGGCTTAGTGAAAATTTGAATTTAGTTTTCCTTACTTCAAATCATGCATATTACTTAATACATCGCAGTGGCTTTCATAGTTCTTTGTACTACAGTGGCTGCATGTCCAGTAATATTTTAACAATAAGGCAACTAGGAAAGGAGGAAGAACAAAAATGGAATATGCTACCTAATA